TTTTTGTGGATATGTCTGGAATTATGTGTGATTACATACTGACTGTTGTTACATGTTTGAAAGAATAAATCAATCAAATCAAATCATCATGCAGTGTCAAAAGAAAAATGACCACAATTGCTCTTTTGACTACTGCAGCTTGCCATCACATCTGACAAGCATCAACTCTGTACTTCTTAGTGGGGCAATTAAGATAAGGTCCCTGGAACTTTAGAGATAAACACTTCAACGTATTTCTCTCTGTGGCACTCCATGCTTTATCAAAAGGTAATTACTTAAGCATATTTATTTTATTTACTTTTTCCCCCAAATTTGATGCTTAAATGTTAGGTTAAATCAGACCAGTATTCACTTGTGTGCTTGAATTCAAATTAAGACCATCACAATGTTAAAAATTAACCTAGGTTTCAGGACCCAAAGCATACAAAGGTTCTCAAAAACTGTCTAAGCATTTTTTTTCTTGTAAAGTACTGGATATTTTAGCTCTTCAGGTCTTAAACATCCTTATAATGAGAAATAATCTAAGACTGCTCTGTCTCTGGTTTAGCTGCTCCTAGCTTTTATTCACACTTAAGCTGTGATGAGGGGTCAGAATATATTTTGCTTTTAAACCCATAACAAATGACCCCAAATGTATGACATATTAGAGGAAATGATGCACTCACCTGCCCTCAGATGATGGACATCTAGCACCTCACTAACCTGGCAACCTCCACAAAGCAGTGTCATCCAACAGAAAACCATCCACAGAGTGGTGCTGCTAGGCAGCGGACGTAAAACCTGCTAAAATGACGAAAAGAGAAGAGGGTATGTAGAGGGGTTAGATCTCCAAATAGAAGAGCTCTGCTTGTCCAAATCCAACTCCACAGGATCACCAGTAGTAGCAAAAACAATCCAATGGTTTGTGTTGCATGTTTTAAGTGGTGATATCCTTAACGGAGGAGAGTGTAGAGACTGAAACACTCCTGTTGAAGCTGTGGAAGTAGCTTAGCCTAAGGAAACAGGTGCAAACTTTACCTGGAACAGTATTCAACTTAATGTGAGATCACTGTTTGGGGAAGTGAGTAGGTGAGGAGGAGAGAGAGGCTGAGGGGAGGGACAGCAAAGGAATCCGAAAATCAGAGGGAGTGGAAAGAGAGGAATATGTAAGAAAGACAGAGGAAGATCTGGGAGTGATGGCGGAAAGTGGATGTCTGCCTCCAGACATGTTTTGAATGGAGCAGGGGAAAGGGATGTTCATACAAAGTGAACATCAAGTCTTTTGGGGAGGGTCTGTCACTAAATCCTGCAAAGTGCCAAATGGTAAAATCTGGTGGAAACACTGTGGCTTTTATCTTTCTGGAACATTGACATTTGAATACTGAGCTTTAATCTTTCACTCAGCATTTGAAGGTGTCTTGAAAATATTGGTGATACTGTGTTAATTCCTTGAAAATTAATGTTGAAATTTTCTCCCCACTTGAATTATTTTTCCTTGGCAGATGTATAATAAGATGAAATGTGGTATAGCTTTTGTGGTATGGTATAGTGAATTGTGCCATAGAGTTTGTCAGAATTCAGTACAGTTAAAGCTCAAGGTACCCGAGCACAAAAACTCAACAGTCTCATTCTGAGGCATTTATGGACAAAAACCAGAAACACACACACATTCTGAATCCTTGCTTTTAAAGCTCTCTGGTAGGTTGAATTACAGAATTAACATGACTCACTTTGGATTCTCTGTGTGCTCCCTTTATTAATTAGGAACAGCGTCACTTACAGGGTTATAAAAGACACTTCATTTCCATAGATGCTGGAGAGATAGAGGGGGGAAATCTCAGGTGGATCCACACTGATAGGTTCTGGGAAGGAAAGGGCAGTCAGTTGGGGCTTTGTTGCAGGTGGACAGTGGAAGTAATTGGAGAGGCAGGGATCAAGATGGTTAAAAGGCTGTAGGACTGAGGGCAGGCCACGGGCCCCCATTAAGCAGCACCAAGGCTCTCTGTGGAGCCTTCTTTTAAACCTCCCACGTCTTGTTGTGTAAATGGTGACATAACCCTAACCAACCTGTGAAAGAAAGTGTTGCACAAAAAGGGACAAAAAAAAAATCTGCAGTTACTGATGACCTACTGGGCTGGGAAACCTTTGAGCTCTAGAGACTGTGTTTTGGGAAATGTTGATGATGAAGAAGTGGGAAAGATTGAGAGGGGCTGATAGACATGATTTCTCATAGTCACACTCAAAACGATTAGAAAGAAAAAACATGACAGGGAGTGATAATGCAAAATGTTTTGTTACTACTAATGTGACACAGGGCTCAAATTACTCCCAAAATAAGTTTATATTAATTCAATACACAGGTAAACCCATGCTGCCAATGTCACCACAACAAACATGTTGGCTTTAGATGCTAATGCATCCAGAAGAAAGAATAACTCATCTGTGGCTGCTTTTCAAAAAACCAAACTGATGTTAACCATGATTTTTCCCACTCTCTCTGCGCAACAGAACATAACTTCTTTTATCTAGCAGCCACTGTTTCAGACTTTCTAGGTCCTCTGTGGCTGGCTGTTTAAAATGATTGCTTGCGATTTGAAAAACACTTCTTATAACATTTGCTAGGTGGCAGGCAGGGCTACGGGCAGGGGGAGGTGACAGTGGGGCGTGGGTAGAGCAGTGTCTCCCAACCAGAAGGTTGAAGGTTTGAATCTTGGTGCCTCCAGTCCACATGCCGAAGTGTCCTTGGGCAAGACATTGAACCCCCCCGTTGCCCCCGATGGTTAGAGCCCTCGGTTGCGTTAGCGCCGCAGATGGCTGCCTCAGTTCTGTACCGGAAACAAAATTCCTTGTGTGTAACATACTTGGCCAATAAAGGTGATTATCCTTTATCTTAATGTACAGACCTGATGTAGAGAAGACAGGGTAGAGAAGCTAGAAGAACAGCAGAAAAGCACTGACAGATTCTCATGGAGGGGAGGTAGAATAGTGGAGAGACACCACACACTGTCCAATCTTAGTTAATGCACTTTTTAAATTGCAAAAAAAAAAAAAAAAAAAAGGTTTCTATGCAGCAGGGGGCAATGTGTGGGAACAGGGTATCCATCATCACAAGTTCTGGAGAATCCATCAAGCTTGACCTTAACAAAGAAGGTCCTGGACTGGATACCTGTTGAACTCTGTTCAGAAGTCACCTAATCTGTGGAGTGGGCCACTCTAATTCAACCCTTATGCCCAACGGTTGGCTCTGCTCTGCCCTCCTCTCCTTCCACTCCATTCACAATGATGAACCTCCTTCCAGTAACCCAAACCTTCTTACCCCAATGACTCCCTCACCTCAGCAGACAATAGGCCCTGTTCAACCCCTCCTGCCCTCAATCCCACTACATAATGCAATGGGCCAGATCAAAGTACCAACTGCACAGTCAGGTACTAAAAAGTGCTAGGTATGATTGATACAGTGCAACTACAGCCATCTTCCAACCACAGTTAAACCTTGCATTAGTGAATATCTCCCAAGTTCAATGACATTTGGGTTACGGCCATGTTCTTAAAATGATGCATCATTTGTGAAGTTGGTTGGGCCCACAGAGAAACTGGAGTGATTTTGAGCAAAGCTCCTTCATGCCTCAGTGATCGAGAAACTGATGTTACGACTAATGCACTATATACTATTACAACAACGATATTTAACTCCTATTAGAAACTCAATATCTTTTGGGGTCACAGTCCACGTTCAATTCCACTTGCCTTGTCTGCAGCCAAGCTAGCACCTCCTAGCACAACTAATACCAATATACTAAAATAAAGACTAATATGCTAACATTTTATAATTAGCACTAAACGTAAAGTAGAACTGAGGGTAACGTCATTAGTTCTGCAGGTATTTTGTCATAAACCAAAGTATAGGACAAAATAAAATGTTGACTTAATGATGGCTATAAATTAAAAGTCAGGAGAATCAACATTTATTCTTTGGGGAACATGAATGTTGATGCCAAATCTGATTGCATTCCATCCAGCTGTTGAGCCCAGTTGGATCAATCAGGTCAAAATGTTTTGAAATTTTTGATCATGCATCTTCCTTAATTGCTTTCAAATGTACAGCCATCACTATAAAGCATGCCATCCTATTGGTGTCTTTTTTAATACATTTTATGACTTGTCTGTGCAAGTGGTAATGTTTTAATTAATAGTCCTTTGTAAATGGCCTCATCTATATGTGATGTACATATGATTATAACCCTTATTCACTCCAATAGTTGCAAACATATTTATTTCTGAATCAATAATGCCAACCCACTAGTTAGCTGAAAAGTCAGAAAATCACAGAAGTCACTATGGCACAATTTCTGGGACATGGCATTACATGTCACTCAAAATCAAGTATGCCAGCCTTAGGGTGGTGTTAGATGAAAAGTCAGAGGATCAGCCAAGTCATTTGGATTTATCCTCTGGAGATCATGGAATATACAGTATCTACCCAATTTCATGACAGTCCATTGAATAGCTGTGAAAGCTATTCACTAAAACCTGGAAATGTCAACCCAGTGGTGCTGGCAAATGCTAGGGAACCAAGGGATTCATTCATTTTATCAGTGACTGTCAAGGCATTCAAAAATATGAAACAAAAAAATTTGGACAAGCTCACCAATAACACAAAACACTTGAAGGTTGTCAAGAGTTGCTCCTTCATACAATCTAACAAAAATGTGAAAAACACTGCAAACCCAGAGGAGGAGGTCCTGACAGTGACAGTGTGTTGAGGGGTGGGTGTCTGTGGTAGTTGGCATAGACATCCCACGCTGGATTAGGGCCATGATTGGTTGGAATAGGAGGAGGGGGAAAATAAAGGGAATGCCCCAGAAACACAACACTGCCTGACACATATGGAATGGACTTCTCGTGTAGCTCGACTGAAACATGCCTGCCAGAAAGAGAGATCTGCAGAATCCCATGTATGCCACAGCCAAGTATTCAGCCTGTGCAACAGAGCAGTGCATGCAGGTGACATGTATTCTACCTGTAACATGAGTGATTCTGTCACAGCATTGACCCACTTCATAACTTGTACATCAATCAGGACTGTGAAATAGTAGTTAACATGTAAGGTGCTTTACTGTTAGACACTTTCCCACTGAACTGAATGAAAAAGTATGCCCAAGCTTTTGAGTGGAAGTGTACGTGTTTATTTTCCTGAATAGAGATAATTATGGATAACAAAGTAAGCTGGTGAATTACTCTGGCAAGTTGCATACTGGCCACGTCACCATACACTCTGGTAATGATATGCAAAACAAACACTGGCGAGTGAGGATAAAAACTGCCCAAGGATAATAAGAGACTTCAGCTAGTCAATCACAACAGTTACTGTAATTACACATTAAAATGATACATCTGTAGTTTGGAACAGAAAATTCCACCTTAGCAAACGCTCACTACAAGTTTCAGCACAAGAGATTACAATAAAAATCTATTGAGAGCAACTGACTGCGGCAGTAGAGCATGCAGAATAAAAGGTTAATTGTGACTACTGTATCTTGAGAAAACTCATAGAGCTTGCCAAAAGTGTGTGAACTTGTCCCATAGTAGGTTATGGAAAGTTACAAATATTGATCAATGTAGCCCTTTCAATTCTGCAGCCAGAAAGGTGCGATGGGAGGGGTTTCAGATGTCGTTTGACCATAACAGAAACTTCAGATGACTGATGCTTTCAGTACACACACACCACGTGAACAATGGCAAAACACTGGCACACCATATGCACGCCAGCACATTAACATAAACCCTTACTAAGTGCAGGATACACCAGGATACAACGCAGAGGAAAACGCCCTTTGTGTGCCCCTCTGCAACCAGTAGTCATACAGCATGTTGCAGTGATGTCATGTGAGCATAGCTGAAGACTGGTCTGCCTATAAAAAATGTTACACTGTAAAATAAGCTGAAATAATTTATTTCTTTAAGAAATAAAAGCGCCATTATCAGTACAAGTGCAGAAATGGCATCACAATTTCAAGAAAGCAAACCCGATTACCACAGAAAAAGCCAAGATACTGTACATCAAGAATATACAGAAAGCACTGACATAAATTAAACACCATCAGCACAAGACCGACTGCGTTACAGATTAGCAACTCTCTTTGATTCTTAAATGTGTAAATAATCTTTCTATATGGTGTTACTGCAGGAGTGAGGGTGACAAGAGTACAGACATTTTAAAATGTCAAAATTACAAATGCCCATAAATTTGTTTCCCTGAAAATGACATCTTATATACATTTCAAAAAAACAGATCAAGAAACACAAGAACATGCAAACAAACAGCTCCTCTCATTACTTTCCATGTACCCCTTCAACCATAGTTTATGCAACTCGCCTTTTATATGATGCTTATATAAACTTCATTTTAAGGTCAAAATGGTAGAAAGTGTTCAAGGGAAACATTTGATCACGGCAGCAACAACTTCACTCAACAGCCTCTGAACAAACTCCCTTGCATTTAATCTTTCATGAACAAAAGCTGTTGTTGGGCTCAATTTACACTGCATACAGTATGCACACACTGCATGATGACACACTGAGCTATACAGTTTCACAATATTGCTGGAACACATTTCTGCATGCATTGAGCCAAAGACAGAGAAACAGTTATCAGTCTCGCCTGCAGGACGTAATGTTGCTCTGCATGATTTTATACAACCTTCTTGCAAATGCTCAGGGTTTTTCATATTTTCCATTTCATAGTCTAGAACTTTGCACTAAACACAAAACTGGAAGAAGTGTGTTTAAGTGTATAAAAGTACATAGAGTAATGTACTCCAGCTACTGTAACAACCCAACAGGATGGTGAGGCTTTACACAAGAGCTTTCTACATGTTATTAATGTCCCTAGCTTTTTATAAATTCAACCCTTTGCCTGGGTTCTAATCCACTGGCTAGTGGGGTTGTTGTTTTCCCAGGAGGTGATAATAAAGCAAGATTCAGGAACTTTCAGGCGTTGCCAGCAGTGTCGCACGTATGCACAGCAGCCACTCATGACTGGTCAAGCAGCAAGAATAACTACAGCAAACACAACAGCAGTAACTATCATATTACTACTGCGACTAGGACAACCAAAACATTAAAAGCAATATGTTTTTCTATTTGGACTGTATCCTTGATTTTTTTAAAGCAATCACTGCCAATGTGAGCCAGTGGAAATGTTTACAACCCCCCCATCCTGTGAAACAGCAGAAGCGTCAGGTTTGTGGGCCGGATATAGTGTAAAGAAGAGACTGAAGTGAATGGCTGAGGGGCAAGAGCCTGTTGGGTGAACCTACGTATATACAGGAGAAGCGTCAAGCATCAACACTCCTCCTTCCCTCTGTCCCAGACTCAAGCTCACCTCAAGACTTGTCTCATCTTTCTCCCAGTGTGTCTTGACTGAGTAACAGCCATGTGCTCTGCTGTACCCAAAACTGCATTTGTGCAAACGCTCTGGAGTAATCCCAGGATATTTAACCAGTCATGTGAAATAAACTGGTCTGGGTGGAGGAAACTGTTGACACATTTTATCTTAAACAGGCCTTATCTTCTACTAACAGAAAGTAAAGATGGAGAGAAAATACTTCACAGCTGCTGATTATACTCCACTCAATAAATACTCAGTCCCACGCGCTGTGTAGCAGTGTCACCAGTGAATCAGGTAAACAAGGGAGGTTTTTAATGCCAAAAACCTCACATCTATTCAGAAAAACCATCCAATTACAAAGTGGTTTTGGATTAAAAATCAATGTGCAATTTGTGCATTCAATAATAATTGTGGCAGGTTTTTTTTTCCTTTCATTCAATTATTTGCACCATGCCTCAATTTTTAGGACGTTTTCATAAATGAGATAACCTTCGTTTTAGCTCATGTCCCTTTAAGCATAAAAGTGTGTGATTTATAATCACAATGACATTTGTGAATATGACACTCTTATGTGGTAAATGGTAAATGGTCTTATACTTGTATAGCGCCTTTCTATGCTTTTACACCACACTCAAAAGCGCTTTCACATTATTCGGCCATTCACCCATTCGCACTCCCAAGCACTCATGCATTCACACACCGGTGACATCACCGGGAGCAACTGGGGGTTCAGTGTCTTGCTCAAGGACACCTCGACATGTTGACTGGACAAGCCGGGAATCGAACTGCTAATCCTCCAGTTAGGAAACGACCCACTCTACCTCCTGAGTCACAGCCGCCCTCAATGTGCAAATCTACTATTGTATAAATGTGTTCAGCACGATGGACAGCAAACATCTTTAAATTCATATATTTTTTTAAATCCAATAAGGCTCAAGTCAAAGCTTAGTATCCAGTAAGTGCTCATTATTTATGCCTCCTGACTCAAAGAGGAGCTGCTGCAGCTTTTGTCTTTGGGCACTACTAGAATCTCGCCCCCATCTCGGATGCTGTAAGAGTGAAGGGCCCGGAAGCCGCACTTCAACTCCTCAGGCCCAAAGACTGAACCCATCTCCCGGTCGATGTAGAAGAGCCTGATCCCATTAGAGGGCAGCTGCAGCAGGTCCCTAAGTTGTTTCTTCAGTTCACCCACGGTCTGCTCCAAACTGAGGCTGATGGCCTCCACCCTCTCGCCCCAGCGAACATCCACCATGGTACATCGGGGAGTGAGGTCCACCTCTGCCAGCGGAGCCAGGTGACCGTACTTGGATACAAGGATGTGGTACCTGTGAGAAAACAGGGTTTGTGTCAGATCACTGGAAGATTTTGCCATGTGTCCTGTTAAAACTAACAGACAGCAAATGGTCGAGAAGAATACTGTGAGGATCTTAAAGACATACTAAAAAGAGGACAATATCTGTTTATTTGGGTTCATCAGAAGTGTGTACACAACCGTAGGTGTAAAGTTTTGTCCAAGTTTTAAAAAGAGAGCCCAAAGAATAGTTCAAGTCCTAGCTTTATCTTGGCATTATCAAAGTCTAACAACTCAACACCTCTAAAACTCACTAATTAACTTGTTCATCTCTCTTTTTTATTTATTTTTTTTTTACAAGCAGACATAAAAATTATATATTTTTGGCAAAAAAGTCACATTACATGCGGTCACCATTTTATGGCAAACAACAAAGCGCAGCAAGTTCATGGAGGTTTGTCATCACCTGAGGTTGCCAGGTTGGTACTATCATGCCTTTACAAATACATACAGTATACTAAACTTGTGCTCACCAACTATATGAGAGGAAGAATGTTTTGTCTCCCACAGAAATTCAGCATCAACTTCTATGTGAAAGCTCTGTTTCCAGCAGTCTTCATTACATCTTCTCTTTTTCACTAGGTCAATTTTGCAACTTCATTTCAGCCTGACATTTCCATTCTTTTTTAAATGAGAAAATTAAACTTGAAAATGTGTGTTTAAAAGACAGAAACACAGTTCTCTCTCGTTTGGTTGTCGTGAGAAAGCTCTCAGCCACCTCAAGGGAATGCATGTTTGAGATAAGGACCCAAGAACGATTAAATAAAATCCAGGAGAAAGGGCCTGGGCTTTCAAAGCTGCTGTAACAGCTGGGCCAATCAAAGTGATTTTCCTTCCCTATCCCAAACTCCTCTACAAAGCCGGTCCTCTGGCCTGGAGTTTCTGGCCAAAACCTGTGGTCCACCCTGGGAATTCTTCTCTAAGGCAGCAGTGCACAAAGCGCCATTCTGAGCGAAGCCATTCAGATAAAAGGCTTCAATTAAGGTGGTAAGCATGGCATAATGGGACACACACTGCAGCAGGTGATAACGGGCTAGCATTTCAATTGTCTTTTAAAGCATTCTTCCATAATGGACAGAAAAGAAGCAGAAACAACAGATTCCAGAGATAACACAGAAACTATCAAGCCCTGATCTTTGCTGATGTTTCTTTTGGTGTTTCAGCCTTACCACGTTCTCTAGTTGAAACACAGCCTGCTCAGAAAGCTTAAAATGTCTATTTTCCTCAATATCCACAGTTACTTTTCACTTCCTCTCTACTCCTACTGGACACTCTGACTCCATTCTCTCTTTCATTCTTCTCTTGCAACTAATCCTTCTTGTCCAGCCCATATATTATCCACTTATCTGTGTACATCTTTTGTATATTACTGCGGTATGTCAATCTGATTTATGGTTTGAGCTATGTTTATAGTTACTCAAAGCCAGGCTATGTCAGAGGCTGAGAGGCTGTGACACACCCTGCATCACTCAACTTAAGATTGACAGAATACGTGTATGCATAAAAAAAAAGAAAAATCAACCTGCTACCTTGTGTATCAGTTATCCAATCAGAGAATTCCAAGCACAAAGGACTCATTGAGTAGGGAGAGAGTGGTGGCATTGTCTCCCAAAGGTTAGTTTCCCCTCGGTCAAGACTACACCATCCTTTACAAATCCCTCTCCAACATTCTGCTGAGGTTAAGTGGAATGCAGTTGGCGAAGAGTGTGGGCAATCATTTGACCACTGTCAGCCCTGAGGAGAGCTTTCCAAAATTATATCACACACTAGAAATGTACTGTTGTCGCTACACCATTTTACAGGTGTTCAAAGACAGACACATTCTTCGCTTTTCACTGTTGTTGGGTATAAAGACTGGCAACAATATTTACACATCAAAGACAAACATTTGTAACAAAATGATAAACAAAAAATATCTGCAAGCTGCAGGTACAATGATCAGTCTATTCATCGGACGTGCTTCTCGAAGTCCAGTCCTAGATGATCAGTATTGGTCCTAAAAAGCTTTATCAGAGCTGCATCGTTCTGTATTCTTATTCTGCTTCTGGAGTGTTTGTTTGTATGGGGAAAAAGTAACGTCCAAGTGTCAGACTCATTAAAATCAAAGGATAGAAATGAAATAAAAACACACCCAAAAATAAAAGGTGAGAAATGTGTATTTGTTTAATACATGCATACAATCTGACTACCTCTCAGAAAGCTCCCGTTCCGTGCCTTCCTGGTAATACCTTACGAAGAACCTCTCTGCATCCTCTCTCTCCCCATTAGACACTGCACTCCCATTCAACACCACTACTGATGGCAGGCTGCAAGGAGGAGGAACAGTCCAAAGGTTATGTATGCCTATTTGTAAGCACAATGATTAGAGGGTAAATAAATAAAATGGTCTCCTGTGTATGTGGCAATAAGGTTTTGATGTTTATGTGTTCAGACTTACCGTGCTAAAAGGAGGCTACGTCTCTCCTGGGTGGAATAAGGCTGCAATAAAGGAATTCCCTTTGCTTTGACTTCCTCCAGCTTAGGGAAGAAATTCAGCCTTTCAATGTCCTCCCATTTACTAAGCCCTGAATAACAGAACATTGTAGAGTATTAGGGCCACATTGACTATTTGATTACACCATGCCCTCAATGATGGATTTTGACAAGTGGAACTGTGGAGTGTTTTTTTTTTTTAAATCCCTCTCAGACCTGAGTTGTTGAGGTTGATGCTGTGCAGGTTGGGGAAGAGGTGCTGCAGGTTTTCCCGAGTGTCTCCCACAGAATCCAAACCATTATTGGCCAGCACCAGCACACTCAGACTGGGGAACATCAGCCCAAACTTTCTCACTTCTGCCCAATCCCGCAGCTGGTTGTCTGTAATCTGCAACAGGCGTAGAGACGAACAGCACGTCTGGGATTCCGACACAGTGTTATAGCCATTTAGGCACAGGAAAAGCTCCTCCAGCCTGTAAGATGAGGCATGGGGAATTGGTTGTGTTTGGGAAATATAAATCTATCATTGATACAACAGATCATCGGACTCTTGAATCCCTACATTCAGAGTTTGTGTTAGGATCTGCATAATAGATAAGGCTGGTGTTGTTCTATCATTAACTGTCAACAAGTCCTATTAAAAGTATGACTTTCAATTAAAGATGCACTGATCGATCATCTGGAGTTTGGAATCAGTCATTTTTAGCTTGATCGGCAGGTATTAACATTAACATATTTCATAACTTACTCTGGGGTATGTTGTAGGAGCGTGTGCACCGTGTCCCAGCTGACGCGTGTGTTTATGAGGACAAGTCGTCTGATCCTGGAAAAGACCTCAGCCGTACTGGGCTCTAGTGCCACGCCACTCAGAGGGTTCATGCTCAGATTGAGGAAGTCCAGATTTGGGATGGTGGAAACAATAGTACTGATCTGGTAACCCACAAGAATTTATTTAAAAACACAAAAAGGAACTTTAGAATGAATGTCAAGTATATCAAATATATAGCTCCTAGTAGATACTAAGAGAGGGTAGTGTACCCCTCCCCACCACTATGTATTAATATTACAGCCTTAGATCAGAACATACTGTGTCATAATTAATTTCAAAACACAAAAACAATCTGTGTCACTCTTGTTACTGAAATATTTGCCAACAAAGAATATTTTTGCCACTACAGCTAGAGATGCCATGCACTGAACAAGCTAGCATATCTTAAACTAAAATGCTTCTTGCCAGTTGCAATCAGAACAAATAAATAAACTCAATCTTATTTCTGTTTCAAGAGTAGCTCAACTTTTGGGGAAAAAAAAACACTCAACTTTGCAGGATGTTCTAGATTTCTAAGCACCTAGTAGACGTAGTAGTGGTGAGTGTCCTTACTCACCTCTCCCCAGTCGTTAAGTTGATTGCAGGACAGGTCCAGTTCTACCACATGGGCACAGAAAGCTGCAATGTCTAACTTCTCCCCGGCTTTACTGATTCCACGATCACTCAGAACTAATACACTGGGCAAGAAGAGGCGATCTGAAAATAGGAACACTGATGTCAGTTCAGCACATCACACACAGTTGAAGACATTCAGGAGCTTTACACTTTCATCTTCTGTGATTTTTGATTAAAAAAAAATGCAGGGTGACGTTGGTGCTCACTTAGCACAATCAGTAGAATTATGGTCATTACCCTGCATCATCTCTCACCTTTAACAGGAGATCCGGGAGCGCTGGGCAGAACAACAACTCCTATGCCTTGGCCATATGGGAAATTCTCTGGGTTGTACTTTTCACTGAGGACTTTGGTGAAAGTCCGCACCTCCTCTTCATCAGAGGATGACTCCATAGTTCCAGCCCTGAACGGGTATCCAAGGGAGATGCAAAGAAACAGATAATAGTCACTTTTTCTTTTTAACCTGTTTTTGTTTTTAGCTTGGCAGCCTTTGATTTAATAACTGTCAAGTCATTATGACAGTTACACATGCCCGGTTGCTCTGTATCACTTGTTTAGAGAGAAAGGCTGACAACATTATATTAGTTATTACTGGCAAAATGACCAAAACCCACTTTTCTGATTTTCCTACCTTGTGTGAGACTCATCTGTTCTTAGTGAAAACATGAATCATAAACAATAAATAAATAAAATTCAGGCCATGAGTAAATATGTTCACTTTTTAAAAGTTTAAATAATTTCCACAAATAGTAAGGAAATGTTTAGCAAAAATTATTCAAACAAGACAGTGTATTTGTTAGGGACTATTTGTAGCAGGTTTGTTGCACTAGTGTGTGTTTGTAGCACAAGGACTGACATGTGGGAGTCATCCAGTACAATAGTGGCTCATTGATGTTTCTGGAAAACAATGGCGCTCCATGGCACAGTAGACGTAAGATGTATCAGGCTTTGACTACACAGATGATTCAATTCAGTGCAGGTTTATAGTCTTTCATGGGATTTGCTGACAATAAAACCCAAAGGAAATATCAAATTTATTACCTAATATGACATCAATGGCAGCTCTTAGTAACGTTTTAGGGGCTTTCAGCAGAGACCCAAGGAAAGCCTGTTTTCAGCAACACATCCGATCACATGCCTCCTCCCCTGCTGAGAGAAAAGGTGGATGAGAAACTGATGAGATGAGAGGAAGAGCACCTAAAAGAGCTGAAATGAGTTTGGTAACAAGACAAAAGTTAACATGCATGTAAATGTAAAGTGCCAGACAGCTGTGGGTTGTGGTACTGTATATGAATGGAAGAACAACGACACTTCAAAACCAGTGAAACTTGCATTATAATGTTGACAAAGAAGAGGTGGAGTGACAGCTGGTTTCCTGACAAGAACAAAAACAACATAAAACATGACTACCCATAGAAGCTGGACTTTAGTCCAACTCAACTGCCTCCTCAAGTCTTTCATAAAAGCTCTAATAGACATATGCCAGACTAGCCTCATTTTGTCCGCTGAGCACTGAAAACCATCTGTCCTGAAACCTGCCCATATAACGTTACCTTTACCTTTGTTACTACTGATGATCAGTTATAGCCTAAGCCTACTTACTGGATCTGTTTTTAAGAGAAAGGTTTCTCCTTCAGACTTTCTTCAATTCGGCACATACTGCGAGTTATCAAGAAGGAAGTTGTTTTTATCAATAAAAGTTTAACTTTAACCTGCTCACTACCGCCCTCCAGCGTCCAGTGGCAGCCAAACTGAGGTAAAGAATTAGTTTAGATAATATTAGCTTTAGTGTACCCCGACTTTCGCCCGCAGCTGGCTGGGACTTTATATAATACAGTGCACTAATGTCGAATTGAATGGCGACCCGCTATGATCCAGTGAAGGTCAAACGTCTTACTGTATTTGACAATAAGCAGACATTTTAAACCAACAGCTTTTTAACAGTCCAGCGAAAACACTCTTCAAGCCACACAGAACGCGTTTGGGGGGCTGTTACGGCTGAGGCCCGATTGCGTAATGTCGCCTGTACAAAAACAAATGGATAAAAATGAAAACCACCACTTTGACAGTTCATATGGACACTGACTAACGACAGTAACGTTACTGTCAGCCTTGATAAATTGTGCAGCATTGCTGAAGAGCCAGGCTGTGCAGCAGCAGCCACCTTTACCTGCATAGATCGGCAAAGGTAAACAGTTTTCGGTGGTTGCTTGGTCGAGTCAATACCATGACCTCCCAACCTGACGCCACATTTAACCATTCTGTACTTTTCATTACTGAACGGTGGTTACATGTGGTTGAGATTGTTGCACTCACCGTCTCCAGAACCCCGTCGCGTTGTGTTTGTTTTTGTTGTTCGTCGGTTGACAGTTTAAGACACGCCCAATACACCGGAAATGACGTTCTTTAAAAGTCTAAGGGACCAAATTCACACTTTTTTGTGGATTAAAACTATAATTTAAAACCGAGAACTATAATTCGCATATGATTTCTGATGGAAACATTTTTGACTTAAAGCAATTCACGCCATCAAACGTTACAATATAAATAAAATGCATAAACCACTATGAATTTCTAAATAAAGCTGGCCAGTCCTTCATTCAGCCTACAATTTAAAATAGTATCAATAGCAAACAGCATGACAAATGGGAAACCTATGGTTATAACAACCTGTTAATAGTTCGTTTTTACATATCAAAGACACCTCTTCATATGAGGCAGCAATGTAATAGTTACAATGACCACAATCTATTTAACATTAGGAGCTGATTCCTTTGAGTTTTGACAAATTAATCCTTACACCATTTTATGAATATTTAAGAAATTAAACTGCAGAAACTGTACAGTTTCTCCATTTAATCTAATCAGACAAAGATGTCTGTGTAAAATTGATTTGTGTTTATACATTTTACTGCATTTTTCCAGATTTTGTTTTCTTAATTTTAGAAGATATGCAACAGGAATACTCCATTTGACAGTAGTTTTAATGAAGTAAAATAGGTCTACCCTATGCTGCCATCAGATGGCAGTCATGTGCATGTTATGGTTTTATGCAACTTTGTTTATGTGCAGTCAGCAGCTGTACATACTGTAAGTCTGTGCAGTCAGCAGCTTTACAAGTTATTGCACTGAGGGTTGTTGTCCTGTTATACAGTCATGGGTCAAAGTGTTCATGGGTTCATCAGAGTGATGGTTGTTTTGGTGTACAGTGTACTGTAGCGCTGTCTAGAGGGGAGGAGCTCGAACAGTTTATTTTTAGGGTGTGAGAATCCTCTTCCATGGAGGGCAACGGGGTCCCAGGGAATCTTTCTGCAGTCCAAACTGTCCATTATTCTTGACCTGTTTGGTTGCTGGGCCAAACCAGACAGTGATGGATGAGCAGAGAACAGACTCAGTGTTACCTGAGAACTGTATTAACAGTTCTTGGGTCAGGTTGAACTTCATGAGCTGGAAGTACATCCTCTGCTCTGCCTTCTTGGTGATGGTGCAATAGGTGAGCCATAGTTGGTTTCATAGAAAAACAAACACTGGGAGAGGATGTTTCAGAGTTTGTCCAAGTACTTGGAAGAGAATGGGAGTTTAAACATATCACAGTTGGTATGTGATCACCTCAAACATGTTTAATCACCATACCTGAAGACAAGAACCACATATGTAAAAAAAAAAAAAAACAGTCTGGTTCTGCATTTAGAAACTAGTATATAATCAGATGAGTCATCCAACAGAGAAGGGGCCAGTGTTTTCTCTACAAGTCACTAGCGCCAAAGCATGCCACTAGCGCATCACAGGTAGACAGCCTTAAATATCCTGGGAAGACTCTCATGACTGACCTGAGGACTCTTACTGTACAATTAGGTTAATCCTCCCATTGTTATTTCTGTGCTGGGCTTAATCTCTAAAACATGCTGATGATATGCACATCAGTTAATGGGACAAGGCTCATATACGTTTCAAGCTTGTGAGCATCTAATACAGGTATTCAACAGTATACACAAGGTATCACACACTACAGTATATGTGTGAGTTAGGAAGCGATATCAGTGCAGAAAGAGTGAGGAAGCAGCGTTGGGATTTAAAGGTGTGGCCATACAGTAATCCAGAATAATCCTGTGAGTCAGCTTCATTCATGACCAGAGCCAGATTAGTCAGCCAGTAATTCACTGCCTGTGGGATGTAGGGAATATAAACAGAGGCAGAGAAGTCCAAAATCCAGTGCTAGAGTCCTTAGCCTTCTGAACACCAAACCATTAATTTTTCCTTTTGCTTTTATTGGATTATCATCATAACTGAAACAAAAACTGAGAAACATGGCACTCCTGAGGTCAGGCTGGCTATGGAGACAGAGTGAGTACACACTGGACTTTTAAAATACTTTTTTTTTTACTGATATCAAGGGGGAGATTGCAGGTTTGAACATTATGACTACAAACTCAAATTTATTTGAACTAATGCTCACAACAATTTTCATTACCAGTGATTCATTATTAACTGTTTGTCCATAAAGCTGTTTGGATAAAATCAATTGACCAGCAACAACTTGGGTTCTGGTAACTTGCTATGGATATTTAGTTTTGTTTTAGGGGATGACAATAACAAAGTAACCAGCAGTGGGGGAAAACAGAAGTGGGAATTATATACAACAAATGGACAGATTGGATTGTGAACCTTGCAGTTCATAGTTGCTTCCTCAACCATTAGGCTACCAGCATCCCCCATTTTATATACAAAAATATGTACAGATTAGTTATGAATGTAAATCTTCACTGGTTGCAGCTTTACTTGATACAGAAGCCTGAGTAGCCACTGTTGATGAAAAGGTATATTTTATACAACACAATTTTTTTTCAAAAATATTCATGCCATAAACAACACTGACATTTTACTCCAAGTCAAATGGGATTTAAAAAAAAAAATAAAGTTGAGTTGCTGAAAGAGATTTTTATTTATTTTTTTTACTAACATTATTCACAGAAGAATACTACTGTTAAACTATGACATGTGCCTCTTCTCTAGCCTTGATCCTCAAACGCTGGAAGTTAAACTGGTGTGACCTCTGGATTGATGGGAGCATGTGCTTCTACAAAACGGACACCAGGCAAGAGCTGGAGCATCGTGTTAGTCTCAAGACAGCGTGTGTAGACGTGCGGTCTGGCCTGGAATGTGGAGGTATAGCACAGAGACCATTCTGCAGTATAAAACCACATGTGACTGTGATGCAAACACTGTTCCTTCATTGTATGTCTGCATGCCAAGCGGACAATCCGCACAGTTAAACCAATAAATAGTAATTTCCTGAAAATAAGAATAAATCAAATAGCATGCCAGCTATTAGATCAAGAGACATATTCACAAAGTATCTTATCTTACCACTAGAAGTATGTCTGAAAATGAGCTTATTTGTTTTCTTGTCAAGCATTAGATGAGAAGACGGATACAGTACCAACTTCATATCTCTGTTAAATATGAAGCTACATCAATAAAGTTATCATATTGTCAGAATACAGAGTGACGATAATATGCATCAGTGAGTGAATAACTCCTTTAACTTGGCCATGCTGTAGGTGTGACACTACCAGAGAGTAATCCCAGGGAGAATCTTATTGTGGTTCAGCTCAGAGATGGCTCAACACTCAACCTGTGCACCAACAGTGAGGATGAGTCTATGTAGGTAACTCATTTCACTCTTGTCTGCTCTGCCTCCCTTTACAACTGTCCATCAATGTTTCATTTGTGTTCATTTCTTTACAGAGCTTGGAAACTGACTCTGCTAGAGGCCAGGAGAAACCTGGTGAGTGATCCATATTCTCTGTAAGAGCTCAAATAGGATCAGCTCGCTAACAGACAGTTTAATTCCATTCCAGTGCTAAAAGCAGTGTTTTCTTTCTGTCCTGCAGGTGTTCACATACGACCCATATGATGACTCCTACCAGGCTGTACCCTTCAACAGCTATCACGCTGTCTACATCACACCAGGAGCAGGGACAGGTGAGATACTACAGTGATACAAAAACCAGGAGGTTTTGACCAATGTGTGGGCCTTTAATTTTAAATGATCCTGTGTTGTTTTGTTTTGGGCATTACTAGTCTGTTATTATGAATGGAAGTAATAAGCAAAGGCATAGCTGCTATTTAGGAGACTATGCTTTGGCATTTCTTGTGATTTACAAGGCAGCTGCACCAGTGTGTGTTACTTTCAGCCATCTGAGGAGTTGCATTCTGCAATAAAAACAAAAAATATTTTAAGCATATTCCACTATTTGTAATCTCAACATTTATTTTTTTCCAACATAATTTAATGCAGCGAGCCTCACAGCCTCTCCTCAGCTGGCCCTGACCAGACCGGGGACTACACGCTGGGGGGCCATGAGGCGTGCCTCACAGCCTCTCCTCAGCGGGACCGGGGCCCACACGCTGGGGGGGCCTGCCGCACGCCGGCGGGCCGGAACCTGTGAGGGGCGACCTCACAGGCCCGAACCCTCACAATAACGGAGCCCTCTACTATCGGAGAGGGCAGAGATGACATCGGGACCATGCTTCTCATCTTTGAAAGCTGAGGTGCCATGAGGCGAGCCTCACAGTCTCTCCTCAGCTGGCCATGACCAGACCGGGGCCCACACGATGGGGGGCCGTGAGGGAAGGCTCACAGCCTCTCAACAGTGGGGTCTGAACAGACCAGGGCCCACATGCCGTGGGGCCGTGAGGCACACCTCACAGCCTGACCTCGGCAGGACCATGGCCCACGAGCTAGGGGGCCGTGAGGCGAGCCATACAGCCTCCCCTCTGCGGGACCAGCCGGCAGGGGCCTGGTACCCTACCGGACCGGGGCCCCGGA